ACAAATATTTTAGCTTGTAAAACAGGAAATCTTAATTTTCACCCACTAATTACATAATCGTTTCTCATTAAAAATTAAATCGGAAAGTTCTGATTCATACTTTTCTAGCTACATTTAATAATAAGTATTAAATGAAATATAACAAATCAATATTATCTTCTAAACGTTTATAAGTTGCATGTCTAGTAGTTGCATACCTGGTAGTATACGTATTGACATAAGGACAAAGTGCTAACGTGACAGTCAATTAAGAAATCTTGTATAAAATTTAACTGTTATAAAACATTTATATTTTCTGCCAACATTTTTATTCTAAATTTTTCGTTTATTAATATATGTAGAACAAGATTTAAAAACATGGAATTATCAAATTTAACATTAGAATTTATGATTTTAAAAAAGAACGTATGTTTAAATAATAGATATTTTTAAGAATATATTCTATAAATGTTGTTAGATATTAATGATTATTTATACTTTACATAATTGGTGATATTTCGAGTATGTTATATACTATATTAGCATAAAAATAAGTCTATAAACATAAGTAATATAATTTTAATGCATAATAATAATGCATTCAGTTACAAACTTAATAATTTCGTCCTTCTTAGTTTATAGTAGAAAATGAGATCACTATTCTAATTGTTTACATATTACGTCGTACGATTGTTGTCATAACACGTTTGTTTAGAATTAACTGTTACTCATTTGGAATAATTCTGATGTCAGTGATCACACTAATATTGCAATTATTATTAATAATAGGATTCCAAGCATTTCAAGTGCCAACAAGTTATCTGCTACATTTGTGCGATTGGAAAGTTCTCATCGCGCTGCACGTCCTCGCTCGAAGGTCGCACCGAGCGAGTGAGCGAGAAAGAAATATAGAAAGAAAGAGAGGGAGATATAGGTGGGAAGAAAAAGAGGGAGGAGGTTGAAAGAGATGCAGGGAGGGGAAGCCGGGATGAGGACGGTACGAGTGAGGAGGGAAGTAGGACACACAGAAGAGAGAGAAACAGAGAAAAAGCTAAATTAAATATTCCATATCTGACAGATTAAAATTGGAGTATAAATAATTTTATATTATTTGTCCAAACGGAATACTAGCATATTGTTTAGATATGACACGTGAATACTATAAACGTATAGAAAGTAGAAAATATAGTAATTAAAGTATGTACTCACCCGTAACAAAATATGTGACGTAAAATCCTCCTAGAACGCTGGTCCTCTTAATCTCCGTATTCAGGTGGCACTCATATACACTTAATACACATTTAACACATCACTTTACTTTCTTCTCCTGCTGCACTACATATAAATAAATAAATAAATAAATAAATAAATAAATACACATATACATACATTCATGCACATACACTATATACATATATATATACATACACACATGATACATATATATATATATATATATAGATATGTGCATACGCACACACTCACGCACACAAAGGAACAAAAGAGTCGACAATTTTAACAGTTAATTCTGCATATATAATTTTCTTCAAACGAAAAACACAGAATAGTAGCGTACTCGAAAACAACGTTACACTTAGCCTCGCCTCTCGCGAAAGCGCGACTGATTGCCGTGTCCTCGTTGCACTCTTTACTGTTCGTCACCGTCCGATACAGTTCGTCTCTCTTTCTCTTTCTCTCTTACTCACTCAATCTCTCTCTCTTTTCTTGTCTCGCTTTCTTCGTCAACCGCCCTATCTCTTTCGCTCTTTCACTACTTTATACATCTCTCCTTCTCATTCTATCTCTCTTCTTTCCTCTTCTTTTATCTCTCCCTCTACACAACGATTACAATTTATTTATTTTAATATCAAAAACACATTTCTGTATTTAACTGTTTAACAAAAGAGATACATATAATCGAGAGACAGAGAGAGAGAAAGGAAGAAAGAGGGAGAAGGAAGAGGGGAAGGGAGGGAGGAGAGAAGGGAAGGAAAGACGGAGAGAAAGGCAGAGGGGAAGAAAAAGCAAGAGACGTACGCATTTGACTAAAAACAAGAAACAACGCTACACGAAGAGATTTTTTATGGAAAACACGATACACACACACGCACACACACAGACGCGCGCGCGCGCGCGCGTATAACCTTCGCTTTTACCGCTGAGAATGCAAGCGCGCAACTGTGGTATTCACGTATGTGCCGGTCGCGTGACTCGCGACTCCACCATTGGCCTCGACAGTGGCGCACCGACGGTAGTAAACGCTAACGGTAGCGAATATATGCCAAGTTTGATCGTATCGGAGTGAGAGCGACTATACCACTGCCTCCATCTATGTGCACGTGAGTCAAGCATCTTTGTATATCAAAGGCTGAACCATAATACCCATATAGTTTAGAAGCTTATAGTTATATGGCAGGAGCGTTGCAACATCAAGTTACATGTGGTCTGTTCTTTATAACTGCACTGCTGGTGCAGTAAGTAACTGGTGCAGTAAGTTGAAGTGTGAAAATATATACTTGTCTCACTCAAACTTATAACACACTAACTCAGTAGTGCAGCTATAAAGAACAAACCAATAATATTCCTTCGGAATTTTATAATAACATAAATTTATTGAATGTTCTAAATAATATTTCATTTATAGTATTGTGTTATATACGGGGAAATTTGAAAAGTTAAAGATAAATTTTCATGAGATGGCGCCATAATTCATAGAGTAACATCACTGCTGGCAAGTATTATTCCCATATGTGTAATATTACTATATGACTAACGCAGCAGTTTTCCATGAGCGGAAGTGAACCCAACACTGAAGGATAGAAGATGGATGGTTATTGGCTTCATAAAAAAAAGTAGAAGAAATGTTTGATAATCGTTAATGCGTAAGCGTGGCAACAAAATGCAAACAGATTTATTAAAAGAACTGTGTAAATTAATAAGAAAAATAAATATTTTTATTTTTCAAGCAAACAATCCAGCACGAAAACAAGCATCGTGTGCCGCAGGCTTTACTTTTCTTTACATTTCTCACATCTTCGTTAATACATGTTGCGCTTAGGATGCGTTCGGGGAGATGCTGTTAGCGCAAATACTACCAATGCTATTCAGGAGATCTCCTATCTTGGGGATAAGTCAAAGTTTGCATAAGATTGCCATTTAGTTGGAGATTTAGCTTATAAACTACATGAAAATTTATTAATATTATATCGAGACAATGGACACTTGACAGAACTCCAACGAAATTACAATTTTTCTCATATATCTGCAAGAATATCTATAGAAAGAACTTTTGGACTATTAAAAGGACGTTTTCGAAGTCTTTTTACAACACTTGCGATAGATAGAGGATGCGTTCGAGGAAACGCTATTAGCGCTATTTAACGCTAAATACTATTCGCGGAGCTAGAAAATAGTACTACAAACGCAATCATGACGTCACTAGTGGTAGTGTTTTACATTATAATTTCGCACTATAAAAGTTATTTCTTCCGAGGTAGTGTAATGGTAGCGTTAGTGCTTGTAAGTTCAGTGAACATCCAGAACTGCACATTATATGTCATAGCTCTTGCACATGAATATCGTATGAGTACATCATATTTATTATTTTACTATTATTTCCTTACGTAATGGACAGTTGCGTGGAAATAAAGCTTCGATATGTTGAAACTGATGGCAAGTCTAAACTGTGATATTTGACCTAATCTAAAAAAATGTTTAACACATTGAATGCGACGTCAGTCCCTTGGGACTGACAGTGAACTTTCCGTTCAGGCGGCGTCACTCCCTGAGGACTGACAGTAGACTTTTCGTTTGGGCGACATTGGTGCGTGAAACCGGCATTGTCAAGAGTTAAAAAATTAATGTTATAATTTTAATGGAGTTTATTAAAACATTTTAAGCAAAGGTGTAGATGAGATTTGCACATATTACAATAAGATTGATCGTCTCTTGGAGGTCACATTCTTGCCGTTCCCCTTCCCATTATCTTCTGTTTATAATTTGTATACTTATGCATTGGCTGCACCATCCCACAGTAAAGTGAAACAAAGTAATCTTCTGTTCATACTCTCTATCTCAAAAATCTCTTGAGCTCTCGGCATCAAGTGCTCGCTCGCTGCTGCCTGAGCGGAAAGGATAGCAACATCGGCGCCGCGCTCAACGTGTTAACTTAACTCGGAGAAGAATAGAAAAGAAGAAATAGAAAAAAATGTAAAACGACGAGATGTACAACACAGTTATTAGTCTATTCTTTTTAGTTGCACTGCTGGACTAATGTAATAAGTTAGAGTGAGGCTGCTTCCCCATGAGGCGTAACTTGCGTAAGCGTAACTTGCGTCAGCCAATCAAATCTGCCGTGGTAGTTGGTAATTTGGTAATTGAGATGATTTGATTGGCTGACATAAGTTATGCTTTCGCAAGTTACGCCGCATGGAGAGGCAACCCAGGTAAAATATACCTGTTTCATTCTAACATATAAAATCAATTAAGCAAGGCAGCTAAAAAGAACAGATCAAATGCTAACGCTACGCTAATGCCATGCGTACAGCTTGTTATCGCTTTCACGCTATTGGCCCCACGAACAGTATTAATAGTATTTGCGTCTATAGCGCTAAGTGTCTCCTCGAACGCATCCAGAGTAAACTTAATTCCAATGCATGTTCTTGCCTGCAATATATTACGTAATATATGTTTGATGAAAAGTGATAATCTTAAACTAGAAATCAATGAGGGTATATAAATAAATGATTGTATGGTGGTCGATAATGAAAATATGTGTGATGTTGCTCACGCAAGTATTGCAAAGAAAGATTTAATAGCTGAAAGATTAAAAATAAGAAATATATAATTAGTAAGTTTTAATTTATTCTAAATAAGTAAAACCATCGTACGTAATTGATGAACATTGTAGAAGTAAAATTAAACTTTTCATAAAATTATAAATTTGGTTTTAACTTAACGTAGTTTAACACTTAAAATAATGTTATTTTACGTAACATAGTTTCAATATATAATATATAATAGAAAAAAAATATATATTTTTTTCTACGTAAGTCTCTTCTCTCACCATATGTAATTGATGTATATTGCAATTATAAGACTTCCAACAATTTGACACGATAATAGTTCCTGGCAAAATCCATTCCTTGATACACGCCAGAAGTGTTTTTTCTGTTCGATCCTGTACTAGAACGATAAAAATTTTCTTCAAATCATATTCGTATTCTCCAAAAATGCAATTTCCTTTGTTTCATCAATTTCTACCGTGTCCTGAGCCACCAAGCTTTTCGCTATGCTTTTCAGCCCAGAACGCACAGACCTGTAAGTAAAAGAATATTAACGTTATTTGATATATTACTATATTTTTTTCTTAAGTATATATAATCTAAGGAATAAGATATAATTACCTCTCTGCAAAAATTGAACCAGTCAACAATCGTGGTTGACAATACACCAATTTCATCCTGCGTGTGATCTTGACGTGGATGTTTTAACATTAGAAAACATGCAACAATTTTGCAAATTATGTCTATGTCAAGATGACTTTGATGGAACAAAGTATTTATTCTTGCACTTTTGGAAAAATCACATTGCTTGGAAATACGTTTTATATGTATATTTTTTATAACATATCTTTTCCAACATCGGAGCGTTAATATTTTTCTTATTAATATTTACATCATTATCACACTGACTACACTTAATTATATTTGCTAAAACATCATGCTGAATAAAAAAAATCTGTTAATCCTTCTTTATTATTTGTAAGGTGTGCAAATTCTAATAGGCCCAACATCTTTTTACACATGACTTTATATATAATATATAATTTTTGTGTCTTTCTTTTGTTTTATTGCTTAAATATCATACACTTTTCACATGATCATGTGACCACAAAGCATGCACATGTGACCATAGGGCGTGCGAATGTGACCACGGAGCATGCTCATGTCGCAACATTTCGTCAGTATGACAGGTTCCCTAACCTGTCGAGTCGTCAATTTTGATGATTAAGAATTCGCTTCGCGGGGCAGAGCGACACTTTTTTCTGCCAGAATCTTTCCTTTCGTGCAAAAACACGTCGAATAAGCGTAATTTCATCGATATTTGTATTAATTGTAACTAAACTAAATAATTACCTGTATATATATATATATATATATA